GCACAGGCAGGTCGACCCAAATTCCTGTGAGATCTCTCAGCCTTCACACGAGCATTTTTGAATGGCGAGCCCATAAGTACCTGGCTCGCAGGTATCCCAAACTCTTTGGCCTTTTTTGGCCAAATTTTTAATTTGCTTACGGCCACTTCTCAAACTCTTCCCTTCTCCGAGAACCTGGGGGCAGCTGCGAGCAGAGACTCATAAATCCTCATAACTTGGCAGTCAAGCTCTGTTTAATTTTGGAGAAAAAAAAAAAAGCCGTTTATTTAGGCAAACAGGACCCAGGTCTCCAGTATTCTTTCACTCTGGCGTGCAAAATAGTATATAATGTTTTCTTGTTGAGTTCCTGTTGTACAAGCTTAAATCATCTCAAAAGTTACAGGATTGCCAAGAACCAGGTAGGTCCTGCAGAGTTAAAGATAAATAACAGGTTTTACCATTTGAAGGTTAAGCTATTATTTCTTCTCTTAAATTCTTTTAGAAGTATTTAAATAGTAATGTATCTTCTTTTTAATAAACAAGAACAAGCTGAGATTTTTATTTTAATATCGAAGATAAAGCCAAAATGTCAACTGGCACTGAAGAAGGTAGAAAATGGTTCTTTCTTTCTGCAAATATATTTTTATCTAGTGAAATACTGAAGCTTTATAAATTGCCCTTTTCCTAAAACAAACAAGACACTAAATTCCACAGTCATTCGGAAACTGCTTGGCAAGATGTTTTAAGGTTCAATAAATTTGGGGAAGACTTGGAAGCAATTGCGAGATGAGACTTCCAAAAGCAACTCGTAATTCTAGGCTTGCAAACCGCAGCAACTGACAGTCTAGCTTTCAGAATTACAAAACCAAGAAGCATCCTCGCTCTGAAGTTACGCTCTTCACGGTGTGAAGGAAGCCACGTGGTACCTCTAAACTTTGTGAAAATTTCACATTTTATTCCTTTTAAAGCTGTTTACGATGATGTGGTTTGCTCACAGCCCAAAACTCAGGCAAGGGAGCAATGTCAGCGCCCCAGCCTGTTCAGTCCTCCTTGGCCTCTCTGCTAAGGGCAGCACTTTTGAGTAGGAAATTGGAAGACGGATTTTAGAGCGTATCTCAGCTACTCAGGAAACACTGGGCACACTCAGCCGCCGAGCTATCAATGCCAACAGAAATCATACCAGGAGTATCCTTCTGAGACAGCCTTTTCATGCTCGTAAAGCAACCGGAGGATCGCAAACCTCTTTTCTTCATCCACTGAAGGGCAGAAATGATGTATGGATCCCACCTGACTGTCTCGTGCTGAGGATGCCACGCTCTCAAGCAGCAATTTGAAATATGCCTCTTTCATGCTGGCAACACCTTTCATCATCAAAGAGCTTTGTACGTTGTACGGTTGGCACATGGAGCAGTAGCGATGATTTCACCTCAGCTGAATTATTTCAGCTGTCTGCCTTAGACAAGACACAATAGTCGAGATGATCCAATTGAAACTCTCAAAAAAATTTTGGAAGGCAAGTACTTCCAGGGCAGAAAAGGACTTGAGCTATAGGAATGTCTCAAAACTTGCCGGGATGTGTTTCTGTGTGACCTACTCCGGGTGATCCTGCTCTGGCAGGGGGGCTGGACTAGATGACCTTTCGAGGTCCCTTCCAAACCCTGAACATTCTGCGATGCTGTGAAGAGGTGGCAGGCTGGAGCACAGCACGTGCTGGTGGAGCAGCAGCCTCTGGAGCGTGGCCAGCTGGAGTCCAACCAGCCCGGGCGGGCACAGGAACCCTGGCCTGTCGGCACAAGTCGAGGCAAACACGTCCCGGGTTATCTCCAGAGTCTGCTGTACCGACATCGTGTTCCTGAAAACGCACCAGAGACGAAC